CCCCCGGGGGGGCCTGGCCAGTCTGGGTGAGGGGCTGAGGACTGTTTACATGCTGGCTAAGCTCCCCGGTGATGGAACCTCCCAGCCTCTTTTTTTCTTCTTCTTTTTTTTAAATTCTGGGCTTTATTTACCTTCTATAATTGAAACTTTGTTGCCTTCAGTGGAGCTCAGAGCCGGCCACAGCAGGCGGGAAGCTTGGTTTCCTCCATCATTGGAGCAACCAAGCCTCCTGCTCGCTCCAGCTCTGTGGTTGCTGGCCGCCATCTTGTTTGGGTTAATTTGCATATAGTCACTCCGACTGGATGGTGGGCATGGCTTAAGGTGTAGCAAAGGTACAGTCAATTTGCATGTTTGTCTTTTATTAGATAAGGGGTTTTTTTTTTTTTTTAGGGGAGAGCACAAACACAGTCTCCCACTACCACAAATTATGCAGTCGAGTTTCCCACATTTGGGGAAATTGCAGGCGTCAGCACATCCGAGTGCAATGAATAAGCCTCGCCCTGGGAAAACCACCTTCATGATCATGGTATTTCCCCTGCCAGGTAAGTATATTCTTTCTTATTTTTTAAAATATATTTTTATTGATATCAGAGAGGAAGGGGGAGGGAGAGAAATAAACATCAATGATGAAAATCATTGATCAGCTGCCTCCTGCATTTCCCACACTGGAGATTGAGCCCGTAACCCAGACATGTGCCCTGACAGAAATTGAACCATGACCTCCTGGTTCATAGGTTGGCGCTCAACCACTGAGCCACACCGACTGGGCTATTTTCAATTCTCTTGAATATATATTTAAAAATAGAACTGCTGGATTATATGACAACTCTATGTTTAACATCTTGAGGAACTATCAAATTGTTTTTTCCAAAGTGGCTGCATCAGTTTATAATCCCTTTAGCAATGTAGGAAGGTTCCAATTCTACACATCCATGCCAATACTTGTTGCTGTCTCTTTAAATGTAGAAATCCTAGAGGGATTGAAATAGTATCTCATTGTGGTCTTGATTTGTATTCCCTTCTGACTAGTGATGATGAGTATCCTTTCATGTGCTTATTGACTATCTTCTCTGGAGAAATGTCTATTCAAATCCATTCCCCATATTTAAGTGGATTGTTTGCTTTTTATTGTTGAGTTATACGAATTCTTTTTATATTCTAGATATAAGTCCTTTATCAGATATATATGATGCAAAACATCATCACTGATGTTTCTATCTCTCCTCCCTCTCTGAAATCAATAAAAATATTTTTTTTAAGTTTTTTTTTAATTTTGGTGAAGTCCAACTTATCTATTGCTTTCTTTTGTTGCTTGTACTTTTGATGTCATGTCTAAGAATCCATTGCCTATTCCAAGATCACAAGATTTCCTTCTTTTCCCTAAGATTTTATACTTTTTTTTTTTGCGTTGCTTAAAGAAAAAAACTTTAATATTACACTAGTAACTAGGGTGGACACCAAAGTTGACAGTTGTAGGGCCAATCTATGTAACAGCACAGGATAGCCATTTTTGGGCAATAGCCCTCAGGGTCAAAGCAAGGGTGGGAAGGAACAAGTATTAACAACAGGAAGTGCAAGAGGCAGCTTTGGGTGGTGCTGACTCAGTAGACACAGACGGTGCGCAAGAAGGTGCAGCCACTGAAAAATCCTAAGTCGAACCATCATAAGTCAGGGACTGTCTGTATTTAGTACTATCACACTGAACATTCACATTCAATAACAAATACCATTGACAGCTGCCAAACTCATCAGTATGTCCTTCTGAAACTATTTATTCTAGCCACAGCACACACATCAGTGTTAAAAAGCAGCCCACAACCACTGTTCTTCTCAGCTGCTACATATACAAAGATGTTTAAGCAAAAAAAAATAAAGTACCTTCTTTCTCTTGCAGAAGCATCCCTCTTAACTTCCATTTCTGCCTGTTTAACCAGCAAGGCAGCAGCTTTAGCAGCTTCTACTTCTTCCTTTGTCTTTGCGAAACGAGCTGCTCTCTCTGCACGATCCTTTAAAACAGTTAGATGCTAAATATCTTTCACTGCCAGAATTCTACTCACATATTTCCAAACACAAGGAACACACACACACATGCATGAAATCCCTTAAAGCCATATATGTAACTTAATCAGTAGGGATCTGGTACTCTTTAGTTTTATCAACTGCCAGGGACCAGAGCTGTTATTAAACAAACATGGACTTGATTATGGTCACTGCTGTATCACCAGAACCCGGAGCAAGGTCTAGCATATAGTACATACGTATCTGTTGAATAAAGAAATAAGCAATATAAAGGTAGACACAATTTTCATTTTCATGTGTTACAACTACTCAATTCTAAAAGCAATTGCTGCTAAACCATCCTAAGCTTCTACTTGATGGTATAAATTCTTTGAATGTCCCAAAAAAGAATGCTCGTGACTAGAGGAAACTGCTAGATAACCAATTCTTAGCTTCTTTTCTAGAGAATCTTTGAAAATTACCTTTTGACTACTGATAGAATTCATAACATTGAGAAAAATTAATTTGAAAAAAAGAATCTCAATTTAAATATTCACTGTACAATTTCTATAAAAGGAAGCTGAGAATTGGTACTTATCAGTTTTTTTTACTTCATGAAAAACCATTTTAAATATGTTACATGCAATAAACCTTAATATTTCAAGAAAAACAATCTTAAATATGTTACATGCAACAATATCTCAAGAAAAACAATTTTAAATGTTACATGCGATAAACACCAATTATTCAAGAAAAATGATCTTACATATATTACATGCAATAAACATTAATATTTCAAGAATAAAAGGATTTTAAGTATACCACCAAAAGTGTACTAACATAGTATATCACAAAAGTTGTAGGAAATATTAAAAATCTGCAAATAACAGGATTACTTCTATTATATTCTAGAATATTTTTGTTCCCTCTTGCTCTATTTTTTTTCATCAGCTTATGTTGTTCATTATATTCCACAAATGAGTGAGATCATATGATATTGATCTGTCTCCCACTGGCTTATTTCACTTAGCATGATGCTTTTAAAGGCCATTTTGTCAGATATGAGTATTGCTACTCCAACTTTTTTTTTCTTTTCCATTTGCATGGAAACTCTTTTTTCCATCCCTTCACTTTCATCCTGTGTGTGTCTTTTGTTTTGAGGCGGGTCTCTTGTAGACAGCATATAGTTGGGTCATGTTTTGTTTCCATTCAGCTACCATACACCTTTTGATTGGAGCATTTAATCCATTTACATTTAGGGTTATTATTGAGAGGTACTTGTTTATAGCCATTTTGACTCTGTATCGGTAGGTTCCTCTGTTTCTTCTTCTCAGCAATCCCTTACAGCAATCCCTTTAGCATTTCTTGTAATACTGGCTTGGTGGTGGTGAACTCCTTTAGTTTTTTGGTTTTTTTTTGAGAAGCTCTTTATTTGACCATCTATTTTGAATGATAGCCTTGTTGGATATAGTAATCTTGGTTTCACATCCTTGCTTTTTATTATCTTGAATACTTCATGTCATTTTCTTGCTCTATTTTTTTTCATCAGCTTATGTTGTTCATTATATTCCACAAATGAGTGAGATCATATGATATTTATCTTTCTCCCACTGGCTTATTTCACTTAGCATGATGCTTTTAAAGTCCATTTTGTCAGATATGAGTATTGCTACTCCAACTTTTTTTTTCTTTTCCATTTGCATGGAAACTCTTTTTTCCATCCCTTCACTTTCATCCTGTGTGTGTCTTTTGTTTTGAGGCGGGTCTCTTGTAGACAGCATATAGTTGGGTCATGTTTTGTTTCCATTCAGCTACCATACACCTTTTGATTGGAGCATTTAATCCATTTACATTTAGGGTTATTATTGAGAGGTACTTGTTTATAGCCATTTTGACTCTGTATGGGTAGGTTCCTCTGTTTCTTCTTCTCAGCAATCCCTTACAGCAATCCCTTTAGCATTTCTTGTAATACTGGCTTGGTGGTGGTGAACTCCTTTAGTTTTTTGGTGTTTTTTTTGAGAAGCTCTTTATTTGACCATCTATTTTGAATTATAGCCTTGCTGGATATAGTAATCTTTTTTTTTTAAAATATATATTTTATTGATTTTTTTACAGAGAGGAAGGGAGAGGGATAGAGAGTTAGAAACATCGATGAGAGAGAAACATCGATCAGCTGCCTCCTGCACACTCCCCACTGGGGAAGTGCCCGCAACCCAGGTACATGCCCTGGACCGGAATCGAACCTGGGACCCTTCAGTCCGCAGGCCGACGCTCCATCCACTGAGCCAAACCGGCTTCGGCTATAGGAATCTTTTTTTAAAAAAATATATTTTATTGAATTTTTACAGAGAGGAAGGGCGAGAGATAGAGAGTTAGGAACATCGATGAGAGAGAAACATTGATCAGCTGCCTCCTGCACATCTCCCACTAGGGATGTGCCCGCAACCAAGGTACATGCTCCCAACCGGAATCGAACCCGGGACCCTTCAGTCCGCAGGCCGATGCTCTATCCACTGAGCCAAACCGGTTTTGGCTGGATATAGTAATCTTGGTCTCAGGACCTTTCCATTACCTTGAGTACTTCATGCCATTCCCTTCTGGACAGTAGAGTTTCTGATGAGAAATCAGGTGTCAGCCTTATGGGAACTCCTTTGTAGGTAACAGTTTTCTTTTCTCTTGCTGCCTTTAAGATTCTCTGTCTTTAATTTTGGCATTTTAATTATAATGTGTCTGGGTGTCGGTCTGTTTGGGTTCTTCTTCTTTTGGGTTCTCTGTGCCTCTTGAACTTGTGTGACTTTTTCCTTTACCAGGTTAGGGAAGTTTTCTACCATTATTTCTTCATACACCTTCTCTATTCCTTTCTCCCTTTCTGCCTCTTCTGGCAGAATTGGTACTTTTTGAGCCACTAAAAATCTACTATTTTTATGTATACTGTCTGGTAATAAAGCAAACCATTATGCATGGAAAAACAATTTCATAAATGTTCTACAGTCAAGCAGGAAAAATAAACTTAATACTCACCAATGCAATCTGCTGTTTTATACGCTCTCGAGCTGCTCTATCTTCTGTCTTTTCTCTGTTTCTTTCCTCTAACATTCTTTTTGTTAATTCCTCTTCTTGCTTTCTTTTATAATCCAACATTTCTTTTCCAGTTTTTCTCCTCTCAATTTCTTTTTTAATCTCTCTCTGAATTAAAGAGAAAGTTTTATGAGCTCAAAACATTATTTAATAATCTGCCCTAGATATTATTCTGTATATAGCAGGTTGTAGATACATTTACTTCATAAAATGTAAGAGGTCAGTAGAATCTATTAACAGCATGGGATAAAGGTCAAATTTATACATCTTTGCCAATGGTTCTATTAAGAGTATTATGTGGTCAATGTAACTTGAAAACAAAGAGAACTGCAGGTCACTGGTTTCTGAGATGAATATGTTACCCTTCAAGGACAACAAGGCAGTCATTTATTTGACTTTCCTACATTAAATGATAACTTTCTTATATTAAAACCCTAAAGAGACGATGCAGATTAGGAGCGCACGGTGAGAAAAATGGAATGCAGCAACACGACAGGAAAAATTCGGCAAAATGTCTACAATTTTTTTTTTTTACAAAAAGAAACTAAAATTTTGATCTGTATCAAAGCAAAAATATTTTAGTTCAAGTCCCTTTATTCTTAATATAAAGAGACTCATAGCAGAGAGAGAAATGAGCAAATTTACTCCTAGCTATTTACAAAAAGAATACTAAAAAACTGTATACTATGATCCTACTATAGAAGACAGATAATTCCCCCCTTCACTATGCTCCAACACTGAACTATAACCAGGAAGCCATCCTAGGTCTGCCAACTGAATAGGGAGTCAAATGTTCCCTCACTTAATGGAAGAATAAAACAATGCTAAGTGTACAAGCTTTACCTGTTCTTCCTCTTTCCTTTTCTCTTCTCTCCTTTCTTCAAGTTTTTTGGTTAGTCTGTATTATAAAAGTTTTTTAAAAAATACATTAGCTGAGACACATCATATTAATATAAAATATATTTAGATGATTTCTTTAGCTACAAACAACTGGGGAAATATAGAAACAAAAAACAAAGCTCCTTAAGACAAAGCAACAAATTATTTACCTTGCCCCTGGCCACTAGAGAAATCATGGTGAGTCCGGGGAAGCCCAATGGGAAGCTAGCTCTAGCTCTAAGCACCTTACCTCCTACTTACCACTGGTTCCCTTTTTATCCCCCCTGATTTATTTGATATTGATTTAAAATATATACATCTAGGCCTGGCTGACGTCGCTCAGTGGTTGAGCGTCGACCTATGAACCAAAGAGGTCACAGTTCAATTCCCGGTCAGGGCACAAACCTCAGTAGTGGGCTCGATCCCCAGTGTGGGGCATGCAGGAGGCAGCCGATCAATAATTCTCTCTCATCATTGATGTTTCTCTCTCCCCCTCTCCCTTCCTCTCTGAAATCAATAAAAATACATTAAAAAGTATACACACACACACACACACACACACACACACCTACATCTTCAAACAAATATATAAATCAATGACTTACAAATGCTTTACCCCTTACACAGAAGTAAACAGCAAAATGGTACAAAATTGTTAAAAAATAAAAGCAAAAAACTAAAGGCTAGCATTTATAAAAACTAATAACAAGATTAATTCTCAACTGTAATAAATTCACCAATTAAGAAACTAATGATTCTGAAAGCAGACAGTGGTAATGGTTTGCACAATGTGAATATATTAAAACTCAATGAATTGTAAATTTTGAGTCTTACAGTATATAAATTGTATTTCAATTTTAAAAAATAACGGAACTTTCTCTGAGAGGGATTTAGGTTATACAGATATATGTAGTTGCTAAAACTCAGCTGAACAACTTATGCCAGAAATCAAGGGAATGCTCAAAGAATGATGAGATGTTTGTCCAAAGAACAGAAGACTCAGCATGAAGGGGTTCTACTAGCCAAATCTGGGGCAATCTGGGCATCAAAAAGAATAAGAGAAATGAACTGTAATACATTAGAGGGGGGGAAAAAAAGGATCTGTGAACCAGATTACTGCTGAGGGGAGTTATAAATTGGTATAAGCACTTTGGAAAACTGGCCAGTACCTATGACAAAGAAATTCCCATTCCCTACAAATTCAGCCAAAAGATATGTTCACCAAGGCATGTACAAGAATGTTCATAGTGCCCTATTCATAACAGCCCCAAACTGAAAACAATTCAAATATCCATCAACAGTAGAATGGATAAATTATACAATAGTCAAATAATAGAATACCATACAGCAATGAGAGCGCACCAACTACTGCCACATGCAACAGCACAAAAGGGCCCCACAAATACAATGCTGAGCAAAGTAGTACATGTGGTTGGTTCCATTAGATTCAGGTTAGTGGGCTCACTGCCCAGTTGGGGTGTGCAGGAGGCAGCCAATCAATGACTCTCTCTCATTATTGATGTTTCTAACTCTCTCTCCCTCTCCCCTCCTCTCTGAAATCAACAAAAATATATTAAAAAAAAAAGAAATCAAACAAAATTCAATGAATGATCCTTGAATGTGGATCTTGAATTGAGAAAAAAAGTTATAAATGACATTATTAGGATAACTGCAGAAATATGTACATGATTGAATATTAGATAATATAATTTACAATTTCTTTAGTATGGTAATGGTGTTGTACTAAAATCTGAAAATGTCTTTATTCTTTCATTATATTATCACTTGCAGATGCAATTTTGTTCTAATTTGTTTGAAAAGCCTACTGTATCTTAATGACAAATGAACTATTTCATCACTTTTGCAATCTGGGAATCTACTACTCAAATGATTTTTTAAAAAAATATATTTCTATTGATTTCAGAGAGGAAGGGAGAGGGAGAGACAGACAGAAACATCAATGATGAGAGAGAGCTATGCCACCTCCTCGCACCACTCTCTCCTGGGGATCGAGCCCATAAACCGGGCATGTACCCTGACCAGGAATCGAACTGTGACCGACCTCCTTGTTCAACCACTGAACTACAATCACCAGGCTCAATTGTGTTATTTTGTGTTTTTTTAATTGACCTGAAGGATGGGGCAGGGCATGGGTTGGTGGGTGTAGACCCCAGTCTCCAAACTAGGCTGGAGGCCCTGCTCAGAGCCAACAGAAACTCAGCTAATTTTTTTATTATTAGGAGATACACACTCAAGCATTAAGAGTGAAATGAAATATATGAAACTTTCAAATGAATCAGCAAAAAGGTGGTTGTTATACTATTCTTTAAACTCTTTGAGGGTGAGGGATATAGTAATAAAAGGTTAGAACTGATGGTACTATATATTATCTTTCCCAAAATAATAGAAATAATAGGAGTGGATTGAGGGGATGGATGAAAAAGGTGAAAGGGATTAAGTAGTAAAATAGTCATGGGGATGTAAAGTACAACAAAGGGGATATAGTCAATAATATTATAATAACTATGTATGGTGCCAGGTGGGTACTAGATTTATCAGAGTAATCATTTTGTACATAATGTCTAATCACTGTTGCACACCTGAAACTATTATTGTATGTCAATTATAATGAAAAATTTAAAAAAATCAAAACTTCACTTTCCCACTGAATTAAATAGCACCTGACCAAACCCCAAAATAAAAGGCCACCTGTCGTATTTCTTCTCATTCTCACCAAGTCTCCAAATCCTTTTCTTAATTTTTGATTTTCCATTTCACCCCAAGTGGTCCAAGTAAGAGTGCCAGTGGTGGGTTTGGTGATAGCAAAACAGAAGGAAACAAAAGAGGATGATTCCTTGGGAACTTCAGTTTCCTGCTGCTGCTCCTCCAGCCTTCCACCATTTCTCACCACTGTGAGGATCTATCCTGCTTTTCACATCAAGATCCTGACCATGCCCAACTCTTTCAAGTACAATTAGGCCCTAACTGGTTTGGCTCAGTGATAGAGCATTGGCCTGTGGACTGAAGGGTCCCAGGTTCGATTCCGGTCAAGGGCATGTACCTTGGTTGCAGGCACATCCCCAGTAGGGGGTGTGCAGGAGGCAGCTGATCCATGTTTCTCTCTCATCGATATTTCTAACTCTCTATCCCTCTCCCTTCCTCTCTGTAAAAAAATCAATAAAATTAAAGAAAACAAAAAAAACATCAGAATCTAGGTTTTTCTGCAATTAAGCTGATTGTTAAAAAATATTTATTTAATTAATTTATTTATTTTAAATATATTTTATTGATTTCAGAGGGAGAAATAGACCCATCAATGATGAGAGAGAATCATTGATCGGCTGCCTCCTGCACATTCCCCACTGGGGATTGAACCCACAATCCAGGCATGTGCCCTTGACTGGAATCAAACCTGGAACCCTTCAGTCTGAAGAGTGACGCTCTGTCCACTAAGCCAAACCGGCTAAGGAATTTTTCTTAATGTTCATATAACACTAAGTGGTTTTAAGTCAGGATTAAAAAAATATCCTGCTTATCTGTTTACCATTAACTCATATAACTTTTAAGAATCATAGTATAAAAGACTATGATTTACTTTTACTAAATCATTGACGTGTTAAACTAGAAACCACAAGCCAGACATTTGTATCTGGTTATGAGACCAACCAATAACACATGACATTTAGTAGACACCCACTTATGCAGAACCCAGGCTCAGTATACAGTCATAAAATTAGCAGAAATTCTTGCCCATCTGGAACTTATTATCCTATGGCATAGAGAGAGAAAGGCAGAAGTGACAGATGGAAACCTTCTATTACAAAATGCCAGTGAAGCCCTAGCTGGTTTTGCTCAGTGGTTAGTGTGTCAGCCCATGGACTGAAGAGTCCCAGGTTCAATTCCAGTCAAGGGCACATACCTCAGTTGCAGGCTGGATCCACAGCCCTGGATGGGGCATGTGTGGGAAGCAACCAATTGATATCTATCTATCTTTCTCTCTCTCTATCAATGTCTCTCTCTCCCTCCTGCATCCCTTATCCCTTCCACTCTAAAAAAAAAAAATCAATGGAAAAAATATCCTCAGGTGAGGATTAATAAAAAACAAAATAAACAAACCCCCCGCAAAATGCAAATAAAAAATGATTCTTTGAATGGTCAGACCTAAAGCTGACTGATGACTTCAGAGATACAGAAGAACTTTACTTCCAGATTGATCTTTAGAGATACAAACAAGTAGGTCAGATAATAAAAAGTTTTCAACCCAGAATTATTACACTTCATTTGTACAATTTTAGCTTTTTCTCAAATTAAGGAAATAACTGAAAAGCACTGTCTTTTTAATAAACCACTATTTGCAAAAATAAAAGCAAACCTTTCCACTTTGACAGTGAGGTCCTCTGAGGGTCTTGAATTTGAACATCCTCTAGGCTCCTGAGATGAAGTGGCATGGTCTGATTTTTCTCCTCCTTATTTATTAAATATAAAGAAGAAAAATATTTCATTTAATGCCAATTTTTAAAAGATATACACTTTTTTAGTTACAACATTTGTTAATCTGGTTTCTTAAACATTACATATTTTCTCTAAGAATGGAGCAGGAGATAAAAAATGAACTATTAGTAATTCTGAAGTATGGATCTGAATACAATCCTACATAATAAAAGGCTAATATGCAAGTCAACCGAACGGCGGAATGACAGGTTGCTGTGATGTGCATTGACCACCAAGGGGGTGCCGCACAGCCAGAAGCTGGGCTGGTGAGCGCACCGGTGCTGGTGGGAGACATACCCCGAGGGTTCCTGGACTGAGAGAAGGCACAGGCCAGGCTGAGGGGACTCCCCCCGCCAAGTGCACGAATTTTGTGTACTGGGCCTCTCGTAGTATATAAATATGGAAATAAGGCAGTTACCCAGTTGATGTTACCAAGGTAAAAGTTAGAGGTAAAACATGAAGAAATATTAATCTGGCATGAGGGTATATAACAAAATAAAGCATGGATGCCTGGAGAAGGGTAGGCTTCACTCCAGAGCAGTGTTTCTCAACCTTCCTAATGCCACAATACTTTAATACAGTTCCTCAGGTTGTGGTGACCCCCAACCATAAAATTATTTTCATTGCTACTCCATAATTGTAATTTTGCTACTGTTATGAATCGTAATGTAAATATCTGACATGCAGGATGTATTTTCATTGTTACAAATTGAACATAATTAAAGCATAGTGATTAATCACAAAAACAATATGTAATAATATATGTGTTTTCCAATGGTCTTAGGCGACCCCTGTGAAAGAGTCGTTCAACCCCCAAAGGGGTCACGACCGAAAGGTTCAGAACTGCTGCTCTAGAGCAATGTTGTCCAATATCTATGGTGTCCAGTACAGTAGCCACTAGCCACATGTGGCTAATGAACATTTGAAATAAGGCTAATGCAACTGAATGTCTAAATTTTTAATTGTATTTAATTTTAATTAAAATAGCCACATGTGGCTGGGCCTACGATATTCAACAGTGATGCTCTAAAGGCCAAGTTCAATCCTGGTTATTGCTCTAGATTTACACTAGCCCAATGGATGCCAAAATGTATACCAAAATTATTTCTTAGAGAAGCTTTTTATATGTCTCTATACTAATATTCTTTTAAGAATTTCCTGAATAGAATTTTGTCCTGACCTGTTGCAGAGGATAGTTATAGTCTGGCACTTCCTTTTAGAACCTCTACCATTTCCACCAACTTGATAACCTTTTTTAAAATATATTTTTATTGATTTCAGAGAGGAAAGAAAGGGAAAAAGAGATAGAAATATCAATGAAGAGAGTCATTGGTCAGTTGTTTCCTGCATGCCACACCCTGGGATTGACCCCGCAACCCGGGCATGTGCCCTGACCAGGAATCGAACCTTGACCTCCTGGTTCATAGGTCGATGCTCTACCACTGAGCCATGCCAGCCAGGCAATAACTTCTTTTTTTTTAGAAATTAAAAAAAAAGTTTTTACTGATTTTAGAGAGAGAGGAAGTGAGAGGTATAGAGAAATAGAAACATCGGTGAGAGACATATCAATCGGCTGCCTCCTGCACCCCCACACTGGGAAATGAACCTGCAACCCAGGCATGTGCCCTGACTGGGAGTGGAACTGGGGACCTCTTGGTTCAGGGGTAAACAAACACTCAACCACTGAGCCAGACCCGCCAGGTGCTTCTTCCATTTTGATCTTCGAAAAAGCAAGGACTATGGAGCAACAAAGTCTGGGTTCAAGTCCTATCCTGGCACTTCAGTAAGTTACCTAATCTCTCTGTACCTCCTAATCTGTAAAATGGAGACAGTAACCTTGTAGAGTTGTTTTGAGAAACACTTTAATAGAAGTAAAATGTTTAGACTTTTACAAAGACTGGAACATAGTGTTTTAGTTATAGCCATAGTGGAAATACTAGAATTACTAAGTAGCAGTTGGTATCTTTCTTCCTACCTCTGCATTCACCTAGGTTTCTAAATCAGCCACAGTAGGAGTAATTACACCTTGAAAATTAGCAAACACGCCGAAGCCGGTTTGGCTCGGTGGATAGAGCGTCGGCCTGCGGACTGAGGGGTCCCAGGTTCGATTCTGGTCGAGGGCATGTACCTGGGTTGCGGGCACTTCCCCGGTGGGGGATGTGCAGGAGGCAGCTGATCGGTGTTTCTCTCTCATCAATGTTTCTAACTCTCTATCTCTCTCCCTTCCTCTCTGTAAAAAATCAATAAAATATATTTAAAAAAAAAAAGAAAATTAGCAAACATTACAAATAGGACTTCTTTTTCCTCAAAGGCCTTTTGTTAAATATTTATCAACACACTGCTAAATGCATCCCATGCCAGCCGCAGCTCCCAGTTAGACATGCAATCACAAGGGTAAACAATAGATACTCTATAGTGCACTGCATTGCCAGTGTTTTTTGATATTGTGTTCTGAGCACATTCAAGGTAGGCTATGCTATGTTATGTTGCTTTGTAGGTTATGCATATTAAGTGCATTTTTAACTTATATTTTCAACTTCTGAATTTAGTTGGACATAACACCTTTTGGTTATGTCCAAAAGAGAATGAAAAATTTTGTAAATGATATTCAGGTAAATGTAAAACATAGCTATTCTGCTGTACGCCTAAATGGATTACAATCATAATAGAGTCCCTCAGTCCTATCTGCATCCAGAATTTGAGTGATCTATGCATGTAAAACCTTAAAATTAGACTACTAAGAAGCGACCTGATAGTTTTCCCTCAAATATTTCAAAAACCTGTTATGTGTAACTCCATTAGTTGCACTAAAGTTAATGGAAAATTATATGGCATCAAATTTCAGCTCAACATTAGAAGAATTTTTCTAAAATCTAGGGCTTTGCCCTGGCTGGTGTGGCTAAGTGAGTTGGGGCAAAGTCCCATATACCAAAAGGCTGCAGGTTCAATTTCTGGTCAGGGCACAAACCCAAGTTACGGATTCCATCCCTGGTCTGGGTGCATGTGGGAGACAACTGATCGATGTTTCTCTTTCACATCAATATTTCTCTCTTCCCTTCTCTCTCTAAAATCAAAACATATCCTTGGGTGAGAAATTTTTATATTTTTAAAATTAAAATAAGCCCTAGCTAGTTTGGTTCAGTTGGCCCTCGACTGAAGGGTTCTGGGTTCGATTCCAGTCAGAGGCATGTACCTCGGTTGCAGGCTCAATCCCAGGCCCTGGTTGGGGCTTGTGTTGGAGGCAACCAATCAATGTGTCTCACTCATATCAATGTTTCTCTCTCTCTGTCTGCAATCCCTGGCCTTGGTCAGGACATGTGCTGGAGGCAACCAATCAATAAGTCTCTCGCACGTTGATGTCTCTCTCCTCCTTCCCCCCTTCCTTCCACCCTCTCTAAAAATCAATGGAAAAATATCCTCAGGTGAAGATTGACAAAAAATAAACAAACAAAAATTAAAATTAATAAAAACTAGGGTTTCAACAATAGACTAGGCTTCCCAGGTGAAATAATGAGCTTCCTGTCATTAAGTGTATTCAAATAGAGGCTTGATGATTATCCAGGATCATCTTTTAGGGTACTATGTTCTAACTTCTTGGTTTACCTAACTACAAAGCTGCTATTACACCAAACAACTCTGACCACAACCCTAATGCACAGTATAAAATTTATTTTGTCTTGCCCAGCCAGTGTGGCTCGGAGATTGAGCGCAGACTTATGAACCAGGAGGTCACAATTCGATTCCCGGTCAGGGCATATGACTGGGTTGTGAGCTTGATCCCCAGTGTGGGGCATGCAGGAGGCAGCTGCTGAATGATTCTCTCTCATCATTGATGTTTCTATCTCTCTCTCCCTCTCCCTTCCTTGCTGAAATCAATAATTTTTTTCATTGTCTTTTCTATCAACCCCTCTTCAACTGTATCTCTTATTTC